ATTTTTTTTTTATGGCTGAGTAATATTCCATTTTGATTGAGTGAGTGTGTGTGTGAGTGTGTGTGAGTGTGTGTGTGTGTGTGTGTGTGTGTGTATCTCTTTATATATATATATGTATGTGTATATATGCATGTAAATATATAGATATATATCTATTTGGAAGAAATTCTAGAAAAGTCAAAACTAATTTACAGAAATCAGATCAGTGGCTGCCTGGGGTCGGAAGTTGGGGGATGTTTACTACAAAGGGGCATGGGAGAACTTTTTGAGGTAATGGAAATATAAATATTGGTTGTGGTGGTGGTTACATGGGTATATATGTTTATCAAAACTCATTAAACTGTACTCTTAGTACATTTTATTGTGTATAAAGCATTCCTTAATAAAGTCGATTTTTAAAAATATTCTTTCAGTTCCCTGCGTGAAAACTTAGTCATCCCATAACTTACTTGGTCACTCTTACATAATTGAAAGTCAGTTTAAGTCAGGGGTTTGCAGACTGCGACCAGGCTGCCTGTTTTTCTAAATGAAGTTTTGGAGGACACAGTCCTGCCCATTCGCTTACATATTGTCTACTGCCTTTTCACTACAACAGTAGAGTCAGGTAGTTGCAATAGAGACTGTGTGGCCTGAAAAGTCTCAACTATTGACTCTCTGGCTCTTTACAGAAAAGTTTTACCAATCCCTGCTTTAGGTCATAAAACACAATCTCAGTTCAAAAATGAGAATGTTCAATATATTAATCATTATTTTAATCTTCATTCAATTGTAGGACTTCTCTCCTGTTCCCCATTCCCCCACCTCACCTAGGGTTTTTGGTGGAAAGCATGGTCTCTTGTCTCTTTTTCACACCCTTCGTCCCTCACCTAGTTTCTGTTACTGATCTTTGCCAGGTGTGGCACAGGGAGAGAAGACAGGAAGTGGGGAGGCGGAAAGTTCTTAGTGGCTGGTGCCTTCCTAAGATGCTTTGGGCTCAGTAGATATTTAAAGCTGACTTTCTCTCTCATGGATGCTTGAGTGTATTCATCAGAAGATCCCTGTTGTACCCCTTTCCTCTTACCACAAGTCCCATGCCACACTGCTCCCTCTGCTTTGGATGTGCCCGAAGGTGAAGGGAGTCACAGTAAATGCCATCAGCTCTCAATACAGAACCTCTTCACAAAAACCTCTCCTCTCCCTTATCTCTTAATTTCTTGATTCTTTTATATCTTTGAAGTGGGTCAAGGGCTCAAGAGAACAAAATTGGTTTTTGGATTTTTATAAATTATGTATATGGTGATCTATTTCACATCTTACTTGGTACCAACCTCATTTTAACATTTGGTAAACATAGAAGGATATGGTTTTCTATGGTTTTAAAAAAGCCTACTCATTTTTTCCAACCTATTCAATTTTAACTAAACTATTGTTAAAACCTTGGCTATCAGGAGAGCATAAAATCCTTTGGTGACAGGCTGAGTGGCTTTCCACACGCTTCATTTTCCTTACCTCTGAAATGAGTATAACATCAACCTAGAAAAATTTTTGTCAGGATTAATGGTGCTAATGTCTATAGAGCTGCTGGAGGCAGTACATTGCACAGAGCAGGAACTCGGTGGTTTTCACCCTTCCTCTCTTAGGGTTGTTAATAAGTTGTCCCTAGAAACATTTGTATAAGTTCCATGACCTTGGACAAGTCACTCAGTCTCCAAGGACCTGTTTCATAGTCTGTAAAATAAAGGGCTGGTTTTAGGTATTTTCTGAGGCCTCGATGGCTAAACAAAGTCTTTTAAAATTCTTATGTGGCATTTAGTTTCCAAAACAGTGTGTGTGTTTGATGCCTTTGTTTCTGACTATAATTATTCTCACTTGATTGCATGAATGCGGACTACCCTATTGTTAATTTTGTAGAAGTTCTTATAATTTGAATTGACACTGGAGTACTTCCAGGAAAAAAATCACTTCATTCAAATAGGCTTAAATCAAGGTCATATTTTTCTGGAAACAGTATTATTAAAAATGATCTCTTTCTGGAGAACCCCACTTTTTAAAAGTGGGATAAGGAGAAGATTTTGGAGTTAATAGTACTCAAGTATATCCAGTGTGAGTGAGCCATACTTAAAAAATCCATTCCACCCAAAGTCAAATAAAACCTTTTTTTTTAACCTAAATTTTTATGTATTGTTTCTCCTGTAACCCAAGAGTTAGAGAGTAAAAGTTCTGGGTAGCAACTATAGATAGACTGCACCTCCCCCCGAGGGAAGGGATTCTGTCCTTCTTGTCCTGTATGTCCATCAGGGCCTGCCATGATGTAGGTATTTAATAAAACTTTGTTGAATACCTAATTGACTGAATCTCATATGGATACTTTTTCAAAAGTCTGACAAAAAACTTACTAATGATCACAAACTACTATTTGGTTTTCCTCTTAGTACTGTGAATACCATTCTCTTAATACTGTTCTATTTCTCACTAACTTTAAGACTAGCAGGAATATTTTTTTAAGGTCAAAGAGCCGTATGGGAAAGAGCTGGTTGATAGTAGGATGCAAAAAGGACCAGGCTACTCTGCCAGGATGACCAGTTCATCTTCTACAAACAGCATTACTGCCAACACCAGCGGACTCAAAGATGTTGATATATCACTCTGCCCTGGGGAGAACTTGCAAGCTCCCCGATGCTACACACAAGTGCCACTGCTACCACAGGGGACTTTATGTTTTCCCCGCCACAGAGCAAGTGGGATTGTGTTGAGGTTGCTACTCTTTTGTTTTTAAAGTGATTATGAGGTGCGTGGTCACAAAACCTTATTGTTTGTTGTCCTTCTTTGATCACCCTTCACCCCACATCTGTAGCTTCATAGTACAGCAACTCAGCTGGCAGCTGATCTGTTAAAATACCATGCTGATCATGTGGTACTAAAAGCATTAAAACTTACTGGAGTAGAAGGAAATTTAGAAGGTTTGGCTGAATATGCCTGTAAACTCTCGGAACAGAAAGAACAGCTTGTTGAGGTGAGTAATAAGTTTACTTATTAAAGAAATTGTAGTTTCATGATAGCTGTGCTATTATTATGAGGAAGTATTAACGCAAATACAGATTTTCATTAATTTACATGAGCATTTTTCTCCTTTGGAATTTTAAAGGTATAATATTTATCAATTCTGTTCTTACAACAGTCTGGCTTCTGAAAACAACCCAAATTGCTAGAACCCACAAATGCATTTCTTAATCTTCTTTTCCTTATTCTCTCAGCGAGATTAGACGTTGGAGTAGGGCAATGGAGATGCACTGAATGACCTTGTTTCTATTTGAATCTGTTGGGTTGCAGCAGGAAAGAGATGGCACACTCACGTTAGGATAATTTAAAGAGGGTTTCATAAAGGAGGTGTTTACAGTTGCAGAGACATGGTGTGGAGGAAACCATGGGAGTGCAATAACTGGCATTAGTGACAGCAGAGCTGGTACCGCCCCTAAGCCCAAAGTGACAGGGGAGTGAGTGGTTACTGGAACTGGAAGGGCATAGAGTCTTCCAGAGAGCCACCCTGAGAGGTTGTGATTTTAGGACTAGACACAGGGACAGTCCAAAGTATTCCTGCAAGGAATGAAGGCCCATCCTGTCCCCATTTCTGCTGGTCTATTCCTGGGGCTTCCTATTGGCCAAATATAGCTGCAGACTACCGTAGGTCAATCTCCTAGGGAAAGTTGAGAAAGAAGGAGAGTGAATATAGAAGGACAAAGAGGAGACATTCAGTACAATACACTTTCTTCAAACCTCTCTTATTCTGTCCGAATCTCTGTTATGTGTAATTGGTGCTTTACCTGCCACTTTTGTTATAATTCCAATTATTGATATTCTAAGCCTTCTACCTATGGAGAATGTCAGACATCGGCTAATAAAAAAAAAAACACAACATATACTTAACCCACGTATACCTTGTATATGAAAGGAATGCCCTAGTTAACATGTATATAAATGCAGAGATAGGAACCATCTAGCTGTTTTCAAATGATCTAATATGCCATACTCACCAGATCTCAAAGACTTATGGTTAGAAGGAACCTTTAGACTAATTGGACTAGCTTCCTCTCCTTCACTTGATTATATCTAAAAACTGCTAAAAAGCATTATTTAAATGACCACAGATACATCTCCTTTCTAAAATAGTTTTGATGCTATTTTGTTTGTAAAACAAGTACTATGACTGAAAGCAAACTTGCTAATTGGAATCCTGCAGCAAATCTTTTTAAAAGATGAAAATTTTCATCTGTTTTTCACTGACATAGGCTCACATCACATCAGTGTTGCCTAATCCAGTGTTATCTCCAGTGAAAGGTGTGTTAATTGACCATGAAGGAAGGTATTTTTTTGTTGGCAGAGAGAACGTGTAACTTGTAGTAATTGACCTAGGTTAGCTGAGAGATCTCTGGCAAGTCACTTCTCTGAGCCAGATATCTTTATAAATAAAACCTGTGGGTACTACTAGATCCTTGCAAAGATTCCTTTTGGTCCTAACAGTCCTCGAACATCTTGCTGTGATCCCACAGGAAGTAGAAACAATATGTTCCACCCTTATTCATTCCTAGAGAATCCGTTGGTAACCAATATAGTGTTATAATTTCTTATTAATGTACAAATTTACTTTTCTGGGTTTTAATGTTGTATTTTCTTTTTTAACTATAAAATAATACCGTGTATTGTGAAGAATGAGGATGTGAAAATTGACCTATAGATACGTTTTTTTCGTAGAGTTGTCGATTGTTGCGACATGTATCTGGGACAGAACCTCTTGAAATAACCTGTATTCATGCAGAGGAGACATTTCAGGTGACTGGCCAACAGGTATGATAAACAGCAGATTGCTCCTTCTGTGTTAAGTCTTCTCTGAGTGTCATGACAAATTGTGTGGAAGGAAGATACAAACGGTTCTGCATAACCACAGGCCACATCTACCAAGAGAAATGAAGATAGTGGAATTTTCGTTCACCAACGTGTGCTGGAACATAGCTGACATTCCTTTGGATTACCTGGTCATCTGCCAAACTGGAGATTGGCCCATTTAACTGAGGCCCTAGATTATATCTACTTTAATGAAGCAGTTTACAGTGCAGGTTGTTGTAACATGTTTGCAAAGTAAGTTATTATGTAACGAGCCATAAAAAGTTTTGACTCAGTAATTCCTAAGAACATAAGGAGATTAAAGAGAAAAAACAAAAAACAAAAAAAATATATTTGTTACATTATTTTATAAGATTCAATTGGAAGCAAAATAAGTATTTTAAATTAGGCAAATAATATGACTTAAAATAATATGAAAAGTAGAATTAGCAACATTGAAAAGTGTTTTGTTAAAATGTTAGGTGATAAAAGCAGCATCCAGATTCGTATATATACACTAATTACTATTATATAAAATGGACATATATAAGAAAATGACTGTATGGGAATACGCAGAAGTGAAAGTTCTTGTGCTTGTTTGGGAGAATTGCACATTAGTTATTTCTGAATTTTCTATATTTATCTTTATAATTTTCAAAGCCTTCTAAAAATTGATATCCCATTTAATACTGTGCCTGTCAAATTAAGGAAAAAGTGAGGGACAGACTTCCTTTCTAAGCCCCTAAATACAGTGTACCAGGTGTTCTTGTTTCATTTATCATGGCCAGCCCAAAAGACTTACTCCTAACTGCAACAGATGTCAAGCTTCTGGATTTATAGTTGAGAACAATGAAAGTGACTTAGAGACAGTGGTAGTGTGTGCCCTCCAGTGGAACCATGTTGCATGTTGGGGAAATGATTATATGCTCTCCTGTGGAGGACACTGTCAAAGGCTTAGCATGGAAACAAACTACGTAGTTATACGTGGATTTTCAACTGTGCAGGGATCGGTGCCCCTAAGCCCTGTGTTGTTCAAGGGTCACTTATATATGAGTGACTCCCAGCAGTTACCATCTGCTGAACATTTTATTATAACCAGAGCATCTCTGTTCGTTGAGAGAAATCAAGGCCTTAATATTTGCTTGTCCAATCGGGAGTCATCCTACTTGCTTGGGCTATAAATGTATTTCAGTAGAACTAAAGGATTTGACTCTCCTGCCATATGCAATCAGCTCTTTGGTTTCAGCTCTCTGCTTACTGTTTTTATTGCAGCAGTGATGTTAGGAGAAGCCAGATTTTCTTCCCCAGGATGATGATAGAGCCTGTTGTCACCTTGTATAACTCAAGAAGCTTTTTCTGTTCCCATTGCCTCAGCTTTTACTCCTAGTCTTTTCCATCTGTCTCACAAAGGGATCATTTAAGGAAATAGATCACGCTTCTAGGATAATTTATATTTGTTCCTGGTTATCTCTGCTTTAGCAATGTCATTTTTATACTTCCTTTAAAATGTTAGATCATATCCAGGACACAGTTGAACACTTTGTATACTGTACAATGGCTCCTTGTTGAGAAGGCAACAGTGCTGAAATCTAGTTTGTAGCCAGCTGGCAAGCCATGTGTCCACCTTCCCTGAAGATAGAGAACCTTGTTCTACTCATTTGGCTGCCACTGTCTTGTCAGGTCTCGTGCCTGTGGGACCGCGCCCACTTAGGAAGAGCACCTAGTTCTAATTTCTCGAAAGTAGCATAACTCTGATCATATCGGCCTTGTGAAAGCTCTCCAATGACTTCCTGTTTGGTTCAGATTACAGTCCAGTCCTTACTGTGTATGTTCCTCCATCACATGGCCATTAGCAACCCTCCTTTTCTTTTCTTCATGTTGGTCCAGTCACACTGGCTGTTCCTCACACACACCAGAAATGCTCCCACTTCATCCCAAACTACTTTCCCTAGATTTCCCTATGGCTTCCTCACCTTCTTCCATTCTTAGTTTAACATGCCACTTTTTCACTGAGCATGTAACTTAAAATTATGTGTCTACCTAATACCCTCCACCCTCCTCACCCCTTATTTTTATACATATCATTTATCGTCTTCTAAAATATCTTATAATTTACTTATACATTTTTAATTGTCTCTCTACATTATAATGTGAGCCAGGGACATTTATCTGCTCAGTCACACCTGTTTCCCCAGCATCTGGAACATGGGTACAGCGCCAGGCATGTAGTAGGTGAATGAATAGCCATGTGCAGTAAGTTCTCACTTAATGTCATTGATAGGTTCTGTGACTTTAAGTGAAACACAATTATCTATAACAAAACGAGTTTACCATAGGCTAATTGATATAAGCAAGAGTTAAGTTTATAGGGCACCTCATCAATGTTATCACGTAACGACACTGAATGAAACAACTTAATTGGAGGACCTGCCGTATTAGTTACTTGGTATCTCTGAGCCTCAGTCTCTCTAACTATAAAATTAGATTATTGCTGATTTGGGAAGGGTCACATTTTGTGTGTTATTGAGAATTAATATTAATGTATATTGAGCACCTGACGTATTTACCATGTACTGATACGTGAGTGCATGTTACTACTTCTACCATTATCACGACTTCTACCATTACCAACAATACTACCATCTACCTACCATTACTACTACCACTACTCCTGTCACCACGACTACTACCACTGCCACTACTAATACAAATACTACTGCACCACCACTACCACCACCAACGCTAGTGCTGCTGCTACTACCATTACCACTGCCATTTCTACCACCACTACTACTACTACCTACTGCTCATTACCACTGCCATTTCTACCACCACTACTACTACCTACTGCCGTCACTACTACCACCTCTACCACTACCATCTCTTCTTCTGTATTATGCAGTACACTCTTTGTAGTCTGAGTATAACTCTTTTGACTTGTGCTATGGAAATGACTTTGCTGAAACAGTTTTTCTTGAATAAAGATAACTGCTCCCTGAATAAAGTTTTGTTTTAATAATGTGTGCTATTAACTATGGATAAGATGATAAGAAACCATGTGTTTTGTTCTACCATGTATCTCCATATCGTCCACATGGGGTTTATGTGGGGAAATTCTTCATAGTTGTTTATTGAGTTGATTTGAACAGTACAGACTTAACTTTGGTCTCCCATGTGATTCTGAGAACTAAGATTTTGAAATTCACACCTATTTAATTGTGTTTCTTTAGATAATTTCTGCTGCTGAAACACTAACATTGCATCCATCTAGCAAAATTGCTAAAGAAAACCTAGATGTATTTTGTGAAGCTTGGGAATCTCAAATTAGTGACATGTCAACTCTGCTAAGAGAAATCAATGATGTGTTTGAAGGAAGACGAGGTGAGAAATTGACCACATATTGAAATATATTATGATTTTAATGTAACTCTTTAGTTTTTTAGTGTCAAACTTCTGATGCAAAATGAATTATCTTGTCATAACCCAACTGAGTTATTTTTATAGTAAACTGTCTTCCACAAAAAAATTATGAAAATAATGTGTCCTTTATTTTAGTATCTAAACAGTAAAATTTGTTGTACAACAGTGTAGTAGATTTCTTTGAATTAATATTAACAATTTAGTTTTCCTATTGAAATTAAGTCATTTTCTATTCTAAATTGTTCTTTAGTTTTAATACGAAGGTTCTTCTGCAATACAGTAATTATCTGATTTAATTCTACTAATTTTATAAAGAAATGAATGTAGTTATTTGATTTTCAAATTGCTTTCCTTACACATGGATGGAATCTCTTTGCTTGATGGCTACGTAATCTTGGAATATTTCCTATGGTGGGTAAGTTCATTGGTATTTCCTCAACATGTAGAATAGCACTATCCAGTGTACAGGAAGGCATCGTTTTTACTTTTTATTTTAATGTCACCTGGGAATTTTCTTTATTTCCCATTGTACTGTGTCCTGTTTTTATGTTTATGTGTTTTTATATATTTTTTTCCCTTTCTAATGGTTTCTGTTAGTGTCAAGCATGCTTATTTTTTAAAATAAAGTCACAGTAACATCAAATTACATATTTATTTTTACTGAATATGAACATTTAAACATTTCATATTTAGCCAACCAAGGGAGGCCATGGTCTTCATATTAGAAGGGACCAGATAAAAAAAACTCCACTTTTTCTTAGTGATCAGTGGGTATCAACAGTTAGAATTTGAGATTAATTTGACAAATAAATGTCAAAAAGAAGCCTCTCATAGCTTACAGACTCTATCCCTCATTTAAGGAAGCTGAATTTCTTTTGTGCTGTTTGAACCATCTTAGAGTCAATATGACTAAGTTTCAGTTTTTAAAGATGTATATGGCAGCCTTGTTTTCATAGCTCTACACATAATTTATCACTTGGCAGACTGGATGCAGGGGATGCCATACACCATAATGAGGAGTACAGGAAGAGGAACATGCTTATGGATAAATACAAGCTAATCCGAGGGGACATATGAGTCTGGAACAAGGGAGTGATTCATCCAGATAAGAGATGATGGGGCGATGATAGTAGAAATGAAAATGAGGACTGATGTAAGAAGAATTATATAAGTAATATTAGTAGGATTTGATGAGTGATTGATCGTAGAGGTACAGGAAGGTTTGAAGTTGACAGCTGGTTTTGGATTAGAATATTTTAATCCTACTCCTGAGGTTAGCTAATAATCTGTCTATCCTTTGAGTGGTTAGGGATTCATTTTAAGTGAGTCTGGGGACATGAATTTTTTTCTGATTGATCATGCTGTATAGAGCCCCTCCAGAACCAAAAAAACAAAAAAACCCCCAAAACCTAATTATGAATACTTCTAATAGAGAAAAGTCTGTTACATCTTCAGTGAAATAATGAGGCTTATATGTCCTTGGGGAATTCGTTTTATTGTGTAGAGATGCAGAGAAGCTCTGGATGTTGAAAATGAGAACAGTACTTCTCAATTAGGTTTTCATAAGAAATCATTTTGGTACCCTCATGAGAGGGCCTTTTGTATTTAATTGTGCACTTAATTTATCTTGAGGTGTAAACTCAGAGGTAAAGATTCACAGTTGTGGTATTGATTTAGGGAGTATTAAGCAAAGGATGTAGTGCTTTGAAAATAATTCTATAAGTTAAATATCTGTACCAAGTATATTTTCCCCAAATATTCCTGTTTTTTTCTAATAACTTATAATGTTTATAACTTGTTTTTATCAGATATAGATATTATTTGTTTATACTACCTCTTTAATTTGATGTAATAGCTGAATATAATTGAGTCAATATATTCTTGCTCTGCTTAATATCAATGGCTATAATTAGGCTCGTATGGAAAAAACTATAATATTCATTATAAAATGATTCAGATTAATCTTTTTTTGGTATTTTATCAACTTAACTTGGTTTATGTTAGAATTGGGGGAAACAGGGACAGCCTTGCAGACATAGCATTTGGAGGAAAACTATCTGAAGAATGATCAATTTTGCAATTATCCTTAAATCTGTAAAGCATTCTAATTGAAGGATGGGAATAGGGAGCAATACAAAGTACCTATAAGAGGACCTCAGAGATTGGAACTGCCAGGTGATTAAGAATTGGTAAATGGTAATGGTAGCAAATGAGATTATATAAAGGCTCTCTTTGTATTGCATTTATTTCCCCCTACCTTCTGGTTTAACACTATTGTACCTTGGAGAAATAAGAGATACTGAAACAGTTGGCTTCCCGCTCCGCACCTCCCCCCCCGCCCCCGCCCCTTTTAGAAAGTAAATGTGAACATTTCAGGGTCATGGGCACTATGGAGCATCACAAAGGTAGATAATACAAGATTGCTTACCTAAGCCAATTTTACTTAAGTAATGATTGTGCCCTTTTCTCTAGCTTATTAAGACCACTTTTTAGCAATGTTATGGACAAGATTCACACTTCGAATTAAGATAGATGGTGAACTTTGAGGTTCTGTGTGACCTGATGACAGTCTTCTATTAATCTTCTCACAACGAAATTGGGGTTAGGAGACAAGGTTTGGAAATTCCCACTTCCTCTTTAAAGTTTTGTTTTTCCCTTACAATTCTGACATTACAAAGAAATAATGGACTCATAAAGCTATTCCCATGAACCTTTCAGGCTGACCCATAATGACACTTTGCCGTCTAGATCAGCATTGTCCAATAGAAATATGACGCCAACCACATATGTAATTTAAAATTTCTAGGAGGCACAAGAGAAATTTAAAAAGAAACAGGTGAAATTTATTTTAATAATATTTTAACCCAACATACCCCAAATATTATCTTCTCAATTTATAATCAATATTTTAAAATTATTGAGATCTTTTACATGTTTTTCTTTTATATTAAGACTTCAAAATCCAGTATGTATTTTACACTTACAGCACATCTCAATTCAGACTGGCCATGTTTCAGTTGATCAGTAGTCACATGTGGCTAGCGGATTCCATATTCAACAGCAATTCTAGATGAAATTTTAAATGTTATGAACAGGTTTGCCCTGTTCATATAATAGTCATTCTATAAGAAATGACATAATTTAGTGTTCTTACATTATATTTACTTTTATTAGATGGAACTATATAAAATTGCTGTTTTTATATGTCAAAATTGTTGAGTATCAGTAATTTTATACAGTTTCACCTAATATATTATAGCTGAACACATTTTCCTTGAAATCAAGAAGCAATTACTATTCAAATCTTATGTTGAATTTTTACTCTAGATATAACAAACTGTGTTTTAAAAAAATCTATCATCCACTGGAACCTGACTTTAGACATGATCTGGAAGCCAGAACGATGAAAGGGCAGGGGTGAAGTGGACGTTATGCATGTCCTTCTTTCCTTGGTAGTTGTGCTTCCTGCCATGCGTTAATTCCCAGCCAAGAGTCTGTTATTTGCTTTATTTCATCTTCCTATATTGGACACTAGACTTGTCCTCTTACCTGATGAGGAGGATGCATTATGAGGTTATTTGTAAATGATTTGGTCTGGTACTTGCAGAAAAGGAAGCAAGCACCAATGACTGGTACTGATAAAAGAAGAATCTGGTTTTATTAGAGGCAGGCTGCTGTGAAAGAATTCCCTATGAATGAAACTGTTGTAAATATGAGGAAATGTCAGTGAGATATTGCCTTTTTGCCATTTTGTTGGAGATTGACCAACATAGGTGCCTTAGAGATACAACTGTTGACAGTCTTCACGTTCACCAAATTATAGTTTTATTCCTGAATTATATGTAATTAATAGACAAATTTATAAAAACTAATGTACTAACATTCCTGTTTATTTAATAATATTTAAAAAATAAAATGTGAATAATAGAAAATTTGTTTTAAGTTATATCTGTTATTTGTAGGAGAGAAGTATGGCTACCTTTCGCTGCCAAAGCCAATGGTGAGTAGAAGAGTTTTGTACATTTCGGAATGTTTTTATTCAGAATTCAAATATGCTCTTGCTGCTTATTTGCTAACCCCTTCCCCACCCCAATAAATGACACTACAAGAAAACAGGATATTTAATGTTCATTGTTCAGAGTTGTTATTCTGAGTAGCACTCTAGATGTAGTGCACACTCTGATTATTTGTGTTGGGTTTGGGGGAGGGTGGGGTTGAAGGAATAGGTAACAGATTTTATGATTATTTTAGAAGCCATAATTTGAAGTCAGAGGTCTTTTTGTTCTTCATATCTTGAATCTAATGTACGAGGTCATGCTGGAATCATTTTCTACAAGCTAAGAACTTTCTTAATGCTTCCTAGGTCAATGAAAATATGCCATGCTATTTATAATTAGAAACTTGAACTGTTTAGCTTTGTACGACTGAAACTAGTATATCTGACTGCATTCCAAAAGAGTGTCCACTAGATGGCAAGCTTGGTTACATTATTAAGATGGCTTCTGCACCTTTTCAGGCAATTCTCTCTGTCTTCATTAAACACTTTAATAATAATAATTTCCAAAAGTAAAAATAAAAACAATGAAAACACAATTAGATTTAAATGAAGAAGATAGAGTGTAAAATTCTAAATAAAATAAAACCTAAAAATCTGTAGGATATTCTTAACTTTCTCAAATTCCTTATCAATTGCTTTATAGTCTTCTAAAGAAAAATATACAAATTATGTGATTTTATAAGAGGGAGCGAGTAGAAGAGATTGATAATCTCTATTTTCTAATGAATATAAGAGACAGTTTGTATTTGTGTGTGTGTGTGTGTGTGTGTGTGTGTCTAACTTTATAGTTTCCCTATATTTCTGTTCTTTACCTTCTCTCATTTCTTCTATAGTAAACAGCATTAGAAAAATCTCAAATGGGCTATCTTAAATGAACAATATAAACTATAGGGTAGAAAAAAAGGAAAAGTTGAAGTTCTTTTCTATAGTCAAACCAGTGACAGAATAGCTGGTCAGAAGTAACAAGTCCTGAGAATAATAAGGGAAACAGAAAACAGAGAGGTACACATATACCTCAAAGGTACTGGTGATGATCTGTGTCTTCTTTTTAAAAAAAATCTCGTTATTGTTTATTTTATTATTTTTTATTTTATCATTATTATTTTTTATTTTTTTAATTGAAGAAATGATTTAAATTTTTCCCCCTCCATCTACCTTCCCTGAAAATCTGTTTCTTAAGCGGCCACATGAGTGTTTTGTTTTATTGTAATTTATGCTTTGTGTACATTTTTTTAATTAATTAATTTATTTTTTTAATTGAAGAAATGATTTAAATTTTTCCCCCCTCCAACTACCTCCCCTGATAATCTGTTTCTTAAGCGGGCACATGAGTGTTTTCTTTTATTGTAATTTATACTTTGTGTGTGTGTGTGTGTGTGTGTGTGTGTATTATTTAAATAAATGTTTCCTTTAAAAAAAAAAGGCTCCCTGTATCTTCTAGCCCCTTGATCTCCTGCCCCACCGGGTTGCAGAGTGAGAGGAATGCCCTACCTGGGCTGCCATCTCCAGAGAACTTTTGAATGTATTTCTCAAAGAAGCATCGCTATTGGTCGTGGTTTCTATTCTTCTAGTAAACAGGCATCTGTGGGCCAGCTTGGTAACATGACTAGTGTACAATTTTTTTCTCCTATCCTGGGGGAAATATATTCTGAGTTTCAAATAGCTTGCATAGGACCAAGTTTGCTATTTCAAAAATAGGGGCCTATCAAACATATTGGTTCAAATATTAAACCCTAAATTCTTAGTACAGTCTCCTATACAACCTGGATAAAGTTGAGAATCAGGATGTCAATGAAATGAGGGTGCTGAAATTTAGCCTCAAAGGGCAAATTGGTTAAAGGACTTGAATTCCAGAGTCATAACATTAGGAACATATGGATAACTACATAGAGTCGCTAATTTTATTACTTTATTTTGTAAGAATAGTTCAACAGAAGGGCCAGGAAGTTTTGGGGCTGTAATAACTGGACTCTGAAAAAACTGCTGAAGTCTTTATGTCCTTCTTGGACACTGATCTGCTTTCCTTAGTCCCAGAATTCTAACTTCCTGTTCAAAGCCGAACTCACATACTAGTAGAGTACTTGCAATTAGTTACTTTAACTTAATTTAATGTAGTTTAAATATAGACCGAAAATGTTTAAATTAAAATTTTATTACAGGTGCTTTGTTATGCTTTCTATTACTATTGTATTTCCTCACAATTAACTGTACTGCTTTTTAAGATATCTTAACTTTTTTATTGTCACAGAAGAATAATGCAAACCTGAAATCCTTAAAGCCAGACAAGTCTGACTCTGAGGTAAGACCTTTTTCTTTGTTAGAGTCTTATTTCTAATCTTCTATTTATATCAGTATTAACAAAATTGTTGTGATTTCAATGCATATTTTATAGGAGAAAGCCAGGATAGCAAAGCTTGGACTTAAGCTGGGTTTGCTTACCTCTGATGCCAACTGCGAGATCGAGAAGTGGGAGAATCAGGAGAATGAGATCGTTCGATATGGACGGAACATGTCCAGTATGGCCTATTCTCTATATTTATTTACTAGGTAAATGTAGTTACACTGATCTTTTTCAAATCAATTTAATAATATCTACTGTGAAAAAAAGTGCCATGTTAAATCATTGATAGGTTAAAATCAGTTTTGTATATACATGATAAAAAGCCTATATAAGTAATTCTTATGACAATTAAGTGAAAGCAACAAGATGACATTTAATTGGGATTTAGACTTAGAAGAGATCCTCTTCGAGCTTTGATTCCTATTCTTTGTATAAATTTTGAAATAATTTTGCATTCTACATTTTTTCATCAGCATCTCTCCTGGGCAGCACCAGGAAGTTGAGAAAACATGCCTTTTAAATCTTTATACAAATGATTAAGCACAGATCAAAGCATAGAACCATTAGGGCTACCACCTCAATAGAGTGCTAGATCTCCACAAAGCAGGATTCAGTATGTAGCAGAGAATTTCCCTAACTTTACTGTTATCCAACCTACATTCTCTGTCTTATCCACATTACAAGACTCTTGATTAAATGACTTGTTGAAGTCCATGTTGGTCACATTCCACAATCTTCCATTGTAATAATCTGTACATATGGTATAATAATGAATATGTATATATGATATATATTAACGTATATGTGTAGTAATTCCATGCTGCTAAATATTTATCAGTTATCTGCTCAATAATCTGCTTCAGAATTTTCTCAAGGAATGACTTCACACTTTTCACTAATTTCTGAAATCTATCTTTTTTGATTTTGAAAACCTGGAAAATACTTGATACCTCCAATGTTATGGCCCCTCTCATACTCATTTTGATTTTGAAAATATTAGCAGCTGTACTGCAAGTTGTTGCAGTATTCTCAAATGTCATTTTGTCTGGAATTTTAAGCTCAATTAAAGGAGTTAGGATCTCAACAACTGTATGGGCCTCGGAGCTCAATAAATAGCACCCTTTGCCCACTCAGTTTCTGAACAAAATGAAAAGATAAACAGGAGTAGGCAGATGGAGGTCAGCAACATTTATGTTGATAAAGTTGATACTGCAAAATGTAGTTTATATCCACAGGCAGGTAGAATTTTAAAGATGATCTTTAGAATTAAGAAATCTTATTAATTCTGTCTTCGCAAAGTCACCAAAAAGACTGAAAAGATAAATAAATGTCCACTTCTTGTATGGGGTGGAGTAAGTGAGAGAGCAGAGAGAAGTGAGGGATGTGGTGCTGGTGAAGATTCCTTCGCACGGAAGGAAATTAGGAGTGGGGAAGGAGCATTCATTTCCCTCTGGATGTCTGCTACCTTTTCAAGATACATAATTCTTCTGCAGGGTGAAGGAGAAATGATAGTTGAGTAGTTTTGTCTGTGTTTAGCAGTCATTTGTTAATACCTTGCCATATTTTCCATCAGTGGCGACCTTCCCCTTGGTAGTTTCCTTCCTTTGTTAACATTTTTTTAGCAAGCTCCTCCGGGGATTGAGTCTTCCCAGCACTAACTCTGACCTTCTTTGTTTCTATCTTTTAAAAATCGGATGAGTCAAGTCTACAAAAGAAAGTAAAATGGAACTCTTTTGTTTATTCACAAAAACATATCCACTGCTTAACTGCAATAACAAAGATCTTTACTTTCAGCTGGAATCATGCTAGTTATCTCATGGTGATAAAAATTAGGTCTTTAAAAAAGCTTTTTTGGGGGGGACTGATAAAAACTGGAGAAATATATTATTACTTAATGAATGTAGACAGATATATAAAATCTTCCAAATAAAAGATAAATCAGGAGATCTTTTGAAAGTCTGCAATTGCCCCTTTTATTTCTTGTTTCAGGATGATGCAGTCGGCAATTTTGGTTTCAAAGTCAGAATAGTGGATTTTGGTAAGGGGTGACTTGCACCCCATAGGGACTAGAAAGCATAAGAGCTGCATTATAAAGGGTAGAAAAAAATTAAAGCTCTGGGAATGGGACTCGTTACTAGAATATGGTTATTGGACAGGAACACCGACGTTCAGGAAAAGAAAATGGATTTTCGGTAATGGATAACACCTTGTGCCATTTGGACAAGTCTTGGAAATATAATTGTGGTAAAATCTCAAACTGGCTTTGTTTTCTGCTGACATTTTCAGTATACATGTTTTTTTTCCCCCAACAGTTTTTTCTCTCTTCTCTTATAACTGGTTTACCAACCTCTTCTAGTTGCTTCTTTCTGAGACTCATCTGTTGGCCTTCACAGTATCCAGTTTTGTAGTTTTCCTGAGCAATTTTATAGCTCTTCCTCAGGCTATTGTTTAATACTGTCTTAACAATTTATATAAATTTCTTAATTTATATATAATTATTCATATTTCTTAATAGTTTATATATTTTAGATTTTTCTAGTGCCTTATATTTTTAAAAAATTTCAACTTTGCCAGTTTATTACAGTTTTTAAAGTGCTTTCTGCTTCATAAACTCATTTGATCTTCATAACAGTTTATCAGAGAATTGGAATAATTTACTCACATCTCATAACTGATTCATGCCTAGTCCACTGCTCTTTTTAATGCATTCTGTTGATCTTTGTTGTAATTTACTTTTCATTTGTAGAGGTCTTAATTCTTGGTAGTTTTCAATCTCATATTCTCTAATCTTATGAGAGTGGTAGACAAAAATTATTATGATTTTATAGTTTCAGAATTGAAACTTAAATGACATGCCTCATCAAAGACAACTGAATTCCTGCCAGTGCCGAAACTGGAATCAGAAATGCTAATTTCCTGGCTTTCAGTCTGATCCTCTTTCTTTTATGTAACAAAGGCCTTTAAGACATGTTATCAGATCGCATGTATTTAATTTATGAAGCAAAATAAAAACGGTTAAACAGGAAAAACAAAACTTAAATATAATTTGTCAGTTTTAAATTTCTTTACATTATAAAATTAACATATATAATGTTTACTTAGAATTTTTAAAAGTACCCTAAGAAGTAATAATATTAAAGTTGCTTTAAGAATAAAGTCACAATATTATTAGATCTATTCAATATTCTTCAAAATTTGGGATCTCTTAATATACAAAATGCTCTAAAACTTTAATATTATGAAACCAATTTCCAGGCAATAACTTTTTCTTACCTCCTAATAATTTTATTTCAGGGGAGAAGGGCCACTGAACACTTCCCAGGATTTAATTCATCAGTTAGAGGTATGTTTTATTTCCAGTTTATGTTTCTACTTCAATTCTGGGCTAAAAATGGGTGCTAACTGGTTTCTAAATGTTCTACTGTATGACGTTTGTGTGCTTACCTGTGCACACTCATGTGTACTATAGAGTAGTAGGAAAGAGAGTAGAGGGCTTGCAGTAGCATTTTGTGGAGCATTTTGGGGTTATCTTGTTGGGGGGAAATATATATATATAATAGGGATGAAGTAGAATGAGCTTTGATAGTCCATAGATGCAATAATAAGTTTTAGGTTTTCCCAAGTAGGTGAAAATATGTCAGCAGATACATAGCGCTTGTACTTTCCTGAATGCTAAGAAGGCTTTTTCTTTATTGAATTGGATGAATGATATTGGTTAAATGAGATAACACATAAGAAAGCATCTGTCATAGGCTTAAGACCATTAGACGATATGCAGTACATGTTAATTTCTTTTTTTTTCTTCCATATTCCTGATGATCTAGGGCATTCAGGAAGGGACAAATATACTGACACCTACTCTTGTACCCTGTGTGGCCAGTGGAACTCCACATAGACCCATTGCTAATTCTCCTCCCTTAGTCTGAAGCTTTAGATTAGCAAGTGGATCGCAAGATTCCTTCTTATTTTCCCTGATTCTCATGTTAGTCTATTTGCCTCTCCAGAACCAAGAGCGTTCTTACATTTGAAATTTCTCTCACTTTATCACCTTTATAGTTTCCTTGGGCATGCCCATGTGCTTCCACCTGAGCCTCTTTAGGAAAGGGATTTAATTGTGAGGGGATTTTCGTCAATAGAGTTAGAAGAATTATAGAAAATGTTTCTTGTGGATTTTTCTGTAGACTATAAATGAGCTTTTTCTCTTAAAACAGTTGGAATAAATTCTAGATTCATTTTGTTCAGTCTGGCCCATATCCATTCGAAGTCACACCACCCCACAAGGGGTATTTCACTGCAGAAGATCTGCTACTCACCTGCTTCCTATGTGAGCGTACACACTAAACTGATGTCTGCTGAATTGTCTACAAACTCCGATGAATATTGACTGTTCATCAAATATTTATTGAGTTTGTACTATGTGTCAGACCCTGGGGATAAGAAATCTTTGGAGAGTGCTCCCTTTAAAATCAGAACGATACAGAGAAGACAGGCATGACCCCTGCACAAGGATGACATGCAAATTTGTGAAGCATTCTATATTTTAAGTGTATAACCATTGTACCGTATACCTGAGACTAATATAAAATAATTTAAAAATGCAAAAAAGAGAGAAGTCTTTGGAGATAAATGAACAAAATATAGCCCCTGCCCGCATGGAGCTTATATTGTAGTGGGAGGAGACAGACAATAAAAAGTATATAATGCCCCCGTGTAAGTACTTAGAGATAAAATCATGTAGGATAAGAGAGAGGTGATAAAGGGATGGTCGGAAAAGACCTCCCTAAGGAGGTAACATTTGAGTAGAGATATTAATGAAGTGATAGAGTGAGCTTGACAGATATCTTGGGGTTGACTATTTCAGGCCAACAGGACAAGTGGAAAGGCCCTGAGGTGTGCAGTTAGGCTGGGGTATCTGAAGAACATTTGGAGGCAAGTTTAGATGGAATGGAGTGAGCCAGAAGAAAGGTGATAACATATGACATTTCCGTAGTCATGGAAAGACCTTTGACTTGTTTTTTCAAGTATGATGGGAAACCCATTGAGAGTGTTGAGGGGCAATGGCATGATCTGGCTTATGTTTTAAAAGTTTTTGGCTTGACCAACAGGGTAAGCGATAGTGCCTTTTACTGAGATGGGGAACACTGAGGGACACCACCACATTTAGAGGGTGGAAATCAAGCATTTTGTTTTCCTCAAGTAGGATATACAAGACTGGTGTCAGGATAGTTCAGGAATGAAGAAAAAGATTTGGGAGTCATCAACTTTAAAGTGGTTTTAAAACCATGATAATTTATGAGGCAGACATGGATCTCATCCCCAAAGGGTTTCAGGTTAGAAGGGAAGAGATGTGTAAAACAGAAAGTGGTAACATGGAATGATGAGGAACATACAGGTAAGTGAGTCATTCCGTTTGGCTAGAAGCTA